CAAGTACCTAACGTTCTCGGGTGGTGTTAAGACCTGGTCAAAATGCTTCCGGGTGGTGTCAAGCCTCGACAAAACCTTAGCGCGACCTACGCCCAAGCACCTAATGCTCCCAGACGATGTCACGCCCCGGTCAAAATGCTTTTTGGTGGTGTCAAGCCCGTACAAACCTTGGAGCGGCCTACGCCCAGGTACCTAACGCTCTCAAGCATGTAAAGCCCTAGCTAAAACCCAAAAACCTTAGCGCGACCTACGCCCAAGTACCTGATGCTCCTGTGCGGTGTCAAGCCTCGGTCAAAACACTTCTGGGCTATGTCAAGCCTCGGCCTAAACTCTTTCTAGGAGTGTCAAGCCCCAGTAAAAAATATTCTTATCTAAAAACCTTAGTGCTATCTACGCCTAAGTCCAAACGCTTTCGAGAAGTGTCATAGTCATAGCCAGAAAACACTTTTATCTAAAAACCTTTGTGCGATCTATGAGCATGTCCAAATGCTTCCGGGCGGTGTCAAGCCCCGGCAAAAGAACCATTTTTATCTCAAAACCTTGCCGCGATATACGCCAAAGCCCAAGCACTTATGGGCGGTGTTAAGTCCCGTTCAAAATACTTGTCACTACCAGAGGCTTCTCCATGGCCCGAGGACAATTTCCCTTCGGATGTCGTGGCCTCTCACGTCGAAGCCCGACGTACCACTGCCGTGTGAGGATCAAATCGGGCTATCAGCGTGGCCTCTATCAGACAATCCGTCCTCTCCTTCAGAATTACCTCAAAATCCTGGTCGGTCCTGCTGTGTTCATCAGATGTCAAATCCAAATGATCTTTCTTGTGCTCATAAACTTTTACGAGAAGGTCCAAGTCATTGTCTCGCTCTTAGAGCTTCAAGACCCACCACAAGGAGTCAACTCGGTCTAGGCTTTCATCAGAAATCTGACCACTTGTACTGTAGTATCTGGTACACCATGAGGGTTGGGGATCTCCACCGGTTTCAATGAAATCATATTGAGGTACCAGAAAGACATTACATCCTTGAGCGCATCAGCACCCTCTATGGTTGTAGGGATATGAGGAAGATACCTTCCAAATAGATTGGGTGATGTCGCCTCTCCCTCCATACCTCGTGGTCCTTTTTGGGTTAACGACCCCTCTCTGATGGTTCTTGATGATTGATATCTTGGCGGTCGCTCTCGTGATCACTCTGATCTCTCTTGTGCACATCTTCGTCTGGGGACTCATGGTGATCGCTCGACAGGCCTTATTCAAGGTCATATACTGTGGGATCTGAGTGATCTCCCTCTCTCTCCTCTTGACGATCTCTACCCGGTGGCACTTGAAGATCCTTCCAGACCTCATCCACATGAGTCACTTCCTCGATCGCCTTGACAACAACTATGCCTGCCGAGGTGGGTAGATGATCCTGATCAGAAGGCCCATTTGTTTTACGTTTGGATCCAACAGTTGATCCCCTTTCTCTACGCTTCAGGCCTATTTTTCCAAGATTCCTCACGGGCGGAGATTTCACATCAACATCCATAAGGACAAACGACTTACTGCCTTTGGCCAATCTAACCACGACCGACGTCCCTTACTAGAGAAACCTCCACTTTTCTTCGAGAGTCTTTTTTTCTTAACTTTTTTTCCCTCCTCTTACTCTTTAGTGTGGCCTAAAAATTACCACCTCTTTCAATCGTCTCATGTAAAATAGTGCAAAGCCGATCGGTGGCCAATTAAAAGACAAAAGGTAAAAATATAAAGCTACAGATACCTATACCATGCACTCTCCCCGCGATATCAAAACCATGCAACCAAATTACAAGGCTCTACCACGGCGTCCCAAAGCCTGGGTGCAAGCCTTTGCCAACTCTTCATTCTTCCTCCATTTCAGACTACTCCTCTCAAGCTTATCCAACTTTAAGATCTTCTCCAAGTTTTACTTAGTAAATTTCCATGGGTTGAGCAATCCTTTTCTGGCTCTCCTAAAAAGGAAGACGATGCATCAGTTTTGAAAATCATTATATGCTAATGACGATCACAGTAAAAACAAGCCACACTTACTATAATAAAAAAATAATGGGAAAACATTTTACCCATCTTCTCGACAAAAGCGATCAGTACATATAGATGTTGAATGGACGAACAACGACCTCACCACTCTCGGACGACCCAAAAACACTTTGGTTTCCATTTACGTAAAGTCCTTGGTACATGTTGAATCAAATTAGAATGCCTGTTGTTGTGCGGGTGCAAATGAAAAATCTTGAGCCCCACCTTCGCCATCGACCACACGTAGATGGCA